GATTGTGCCAGATCTAATGCAACTACAGAATTTTCTGACAAGAGCCATTTCATGCCCTGGCAATTCAGAGCAATCATTGAGCATTTTGCACCCTCTCAAGCAGACATAACTCTGGGTTGTGTAAAAAAACCAAAACCCAACATTGAAATATTTAACTGAGCAGTGAATATTTTTACACTAAAACCCAAATCAATTAAAACTGTTCCAGAGATTTTCATGATAAAGTAGCAAGTGAATCACAACTACCTTCAAAAATAAGAAACTTTTCAAACTGTGTTCCTGATCTCCACTGATATTGTTGGTTTTGGTTTTTTTTTTTATATTTCCAACTGAAAATATATAGGGAAGATACATTAGAAAGTTATTAATGACATCTAGGCAAGGACTCATTAAGTGAATCATCATTTTCCCTACTAAATTTCTACTATTTATGAAACTGAAGTGATTAACTTCACAAATAACTCAGTTGCAAAAATCTGTCCTAGTTGTTTCAGAGATGTATTACCTTGAAAGTCAGTGCATTTAACTTTATTGTTTTTACATATCTGGAAAGAATGTCTGTCTTAGACAAACACTGATTGCTGGAAATTAAGTATGATGTTCAAAGTCCCTAGGTGCCCAAGGTCTTGTTAAAGCAGCTGGACAAATGACAAATCAAGAACTGGCCTTTCATGATTTACTCAAACAGTAAAAGTAGTACTTTCTACATTTGATTCATTTCCTTCTTACCCTTTTTGTTGTCATCAACATGAACAAAGGAAATAAAACCTTTAAAAGATTTATGGGGCTTGTTTTGCTTGTTTCTTTGCTTTTAAGCCTGAGTTTTAAACCTACATTAGTTTTCAAGAGGAAAGTACCTCCATTCACCACCGGCAATATCTTGAATTACTACAGATAAAGCTAATCTTTTCAGTTCCTTATAAACACAGCTAAGAAATCTATTACAATTGCTGGCTGAGAATATCGGCGAGAGCCTGACTTCTGAAATAAATATATATATCTATATACTATACAGATATTGTAAGACTGATAGCTTTTGACCAGGTCTAGCATAAGCAAGCAATCACCAGACACCACCACAAAATGAAGAGTTTGAGAAGCTCACTACATTGACAGACAGATGTTGTTTGGCAGCCTGTGAAGTCCAAATAGAGTAAATCAATATTGAAATAATTTATCAATCTTTTACATTAAAAACAAAATACTGTTCTCTGCTCTGTACAGGTCTAGATTATACTTGCACCTTTACAATGAAGTCTTTTACAGATTTTAGTGGCACATCAAGCAGGAAAGAATATCAGTGATGAGATCTCCCACCCAAAGGAAGAGTTTTGTAAACTTTTTAATTTGGTCCTTCCATTTGGGAAACCATAAAGACTATGTGTTATTATTGTTCTTCCTTTTAAGTTAAAGAGATTTTTCATTCTCCTGAGATTCTTATCTTCAAAAGAAACTTGTTTCTCAAGGTCCCTTCTCCAGATTTATCCTCATTTTATTATAACCCAAAGAACAGGAAAGTCTGAAAAACCTGGAGAGTTCCAGCATGTGTGCTGGGTTGACCTTGGCTGGCTACCAGGCACTCACACCACCACTCTCTCACTCCCCTTCCTCAAGAGGACAGGGGAGAAAACAAGGTGGAAAAGCTCACGGGTTGAGATAAAGACAAGGAGATCACTTACCAGTTACCCTCATGGGCAAAACAGACTCGACTCGGGGAAGATTAATTTAATCTATTGCCAATAAAAATAGGGTAGGATGGTGAGAAACAAAGACTAAAACACCTGTCCCCCCGCTCCTTTTTCCCAGGCTCAACTTCACTTCTTCATTTCCAACATCTCTACCTTCCCTCTTCTTCCCTCGAGCAGTGCAGGGGGATGGGGAATGGGGGGCTGTGGTCAGTTCATAACAGCTCCTCTTCTCTCCTGCTCCTTCCTTGCCACACTTTTTTCCTGCTGCAGCGTAGGTCCTTCCATGGGCTGCAGTCCTCTGGGATAATCCTGCTCAAGTGTGAGTCCTCCACAGGCTGCAGTGTAGATCAGTCTGCTCCTCCAAGGTCTCTCCACGGGCTGCGGGGGAATCTCTGCTCCGGCGCCTGGAGCCCCTCCTCCCCGCCTCCTCCTCTGGCCGTGGTGTCGCAGGGCTGTTTCTCACACTTTTTCCCCCCTCACTCCTCACTGCCGTGCAGCATTTTGCCCTTTCTTAAATACGTTTTCACTCGGTGCCCCGGGGTGGGCGGGTTGGAGCCGGCTGGAACCGGCTGTGTCCGGCACGGGGCAGCCCCGGGCTCTCCTCACACAGGCCGCCCGCCCCGCAGCCCCCGTCACCAGCGCCTGAGCACCCGCGCCCAGCACAGCTTGCTTTCCCATTTTCGATCCTTTTTTATGCCTGGCAGCCCCAAATCTTCTCCTTAAGCCCCCAGCAACCTAACACCACCCATTCACTACTATCTGGGAATCCATCTCCAACCTTTGAAGAGCTCCTTCTGGAGTCTTTCTCTGAATTAATACTTTTTAAAGATTAACTGTAGCTAAATCACACAACAGTTCCATAAGTATTCAGCTCTAGGGGCAGAATAATTTTTATTACTGTTACTTCTAAGCTAGCAGTATAACTTGATTTGCTATACACACAGCAACCATGCACACACTTAATTTAGTATTTTATGAATGTTTGCATTTCTAATTAGATGCCAGAACATTTTTCTGTTTCTAGTCTAAATGCATTGAGTTCCTGCAGATACTTTCACTTACTATTATTCCTCATCTACATCTAGGAGTATCCGTTGTGTTGTAACATTCATAATGTAAAAGAATTGCAATTTGTACTTCTCCACTCTTACTGGGGTACAGTATTATCAAAACCCAATTATTTTCTGAAATAACAGTGACATCCAACTTTTCCACAGCTTTCTCTAACAACTACCACTTGCTTTTTCCTATATAAAACAATATTTCATCTTAAAGATTTGCAATTCATTGTTTAGCAAAATAACTTTAGTGTATCAATGACTATGTAGAATATGATAATATACATTTTAATTTAGTCTCAAGAGGAAAAAAAAAAACCAAACACGCACTATATTTGCTATAAAACCAGATGGACCATTACTGGCTCAGTTCCCAACTTAATGACTATATCTATTTTTAAATGTTAACATTTGAATTAGATTATCCCATATTCTTCAGACTTATTTTTTTGTTTATGTTTCAGAGTTCTTTTGAGGAATGCTACTGCCTTTACAACATTGAGTAAGAACATAGAGCAGAAAGGTTTTCTAGGAGCAAGTCTTGTCCCCTGCTATAATAAACACCAATGGGAATACATTGCGACAACTAACTGCATGGGAAGCACAGAACTGCTCTCCTGCAGGCACCAGGTCACTGAGCCCTAGTGCTGCGGATACCTTGTTTCTTCTGTTGACACGGTCAAGAGTATGTAAAAATAGTGCTGAATTCCCAAAAGCTGTCCATTAGCTTGTAGACTCAGTTAATCTAATATATTCTTGAAAAATTCTACCTTGCTCTGCATAACTTAACTATGACTGCTGAGTGGGATGGTGGCTGCCTTTAGTACAGCTGACACTTGGTGTATGATAGCCCAGAGAACAGCACACATCTTCTCTTTTCCTTGGGCAAGCATTAGACCACACTTTAGCTACAAGTACAGTGAAGCCACACTTCAGCTACAAGTGAGAGCAAAAATTTCCTGTCAATAGGGTCTTTCATACCAGTATGTCTATCTAGAAGAATACTACATGCACCAAATGGAAGTAACTAAGCATGCCCACAATACAGATTATATCAGTATGGTTCAGTTGAACATACCAAAACTAGCATACACACATTTGCACAGACCTCCTAGGTGTTCCTCCCACTCATACACTCTAAACTGATTCGAACAGAGGCTGAAGATGGCTTGGTCTTCAAAAAGTGAACCCATTAGTTGAACCTTAGTTGGACTTGGAGCTTTTTTTGGCTGTACCACCATGTTTGCACAGCTTTCAGCTATTTCACTTATGTTTCAAGCTACCTAACTGTAAACAAACCTCATTCTGGAAGCCATGGTACTGCGGGTATAGCACTGTGCTCTCACAAAGGCATTTACTGCCTTGTCTTGAGTGCATCACCTTCAGACTGCTGCTGGCAGTTTTTGAGCGAGTAAGATCACACAGATCCGTTTGCAAAAGGTTTTGCTGACAAGCCACTAACTCTTGTTTCTGATTTAATGCTCACTTCTTAAATTTCTGTATTTAGAAGCCAAAAATCATGGCTATTGACATTATTCAGGAAACTTGCATGCATAATTAAGACCACAAAAATCAGTCACCATCATAATCTTTTCCTTTTTGTTCGATTAGGAATACATTTAGAAGGGGAAAACACCCCCAAACTTTAAAATGCACAGTAAATTTATAGTAAGCAGAAAATACTTTGATAAACTCTGAATCAGAGAAGAAATTCTACTTAATCAAATTCAGCAGGAGCATCACCTAGCTGTATACTTACTGAGCACCTAGTGAAATGGTACAATCTTCTAACAAAACTAGCAAAATCATTAGGTGTTCACCTCACAGACAGAAAAAATGATTCAGTTGTTGCACACTTTCTACAAGTAACAAATATGCTGTCACCACATTTATAGTGTATCATAACACTTATTGTCAAAATCTCAAGGAAGAATTGCACGCAGGTACACAACAACCCTTTCCCACAAGGACAGGTGCAGGGCTTTTGTACTTTTTTTTTTTTTTTCCGTACAGGTCCTTCTCCTTGTTTTGTACTGATAGTATTAGCTTGATAAATACTTTCTTCATTTGCTATCTCCACCAGTCTGCCTAAACCAACTCTGATACCCCTTACCTATTCGTTGTTTTGTTTCCTTGATGTTAGCTGAGAACCATGGTCAAAGGACCACCTGATTTTGTTGTTCTCATTGATTTTTAACAAACATAGTAAGAACAGTTCTGTTTGGAAGAGGAATCTCTTGAATAAAGTACATACCAGTTCCTTTGCTTACATATGGAGGCTTGAAGAATTTCACAACGCCATACAAATTCACTACAGTTCCATCTTTAAGATGATTCAGAGGAGTATACACATATTTTGGTGCAACAGACTGAAAAGGCATGATAAAATTAGGGAACAAAAGAAAAATTATTCAAACACCAGAATTTTGTCTTTTAACACCATCCACCCTCAGATATGCTTTATTTCATCTTAAAATAAAAGTTACCTGTTTCTTTCTGTCTTATTCACTTTAGACTCTAAAGCTAAATATATATACATATATTCACAGGCAATAAAGCACACAAGACTTATTTCCATTTCTTTTTGTGATTGCATCTTCCTTACGATAAACTAACCAGCCAGTTCAAGTAAGTTTCAATACATGAAACAGGTGAATAAAAGTCATTATAATAAAGAATGATGGAAAGTAATTTTTTTACTGATTGATTTTAACATGTCCATCCAAAGGGCTTTTGAAAGCACATACATAAATAATTTTGTAATTCTTATTGGCAGTGTCACTGCACAGAATCTCTGTCTTGGAAAGGGGGGCGTACCTCTCAGCCATTGAGTAAGTCTTCTTATTAAAATACCACACTTGTTGAAGTATTAGAGGAATGAAGGACTACCTTCTACTGTTTAAGGACGACTCTCCTCTTATCTTAAGGTTACATTATAGGCTGATTAGTCTCTTTTAAAGAATACAAGTTCTGCCAAACCGACTGAAAACTGGTTTTCAATTGCTATATCAGGGGAAAAAAAAATGAAAGTCTTCATAAAATTAACATGAAGCCAAGCTGTATCATCTTTGGTACTAAATCTTTAACCTTATGATAAAGAACAATAAAATTTCATACCAATTTCTCTGCCTTTAATATACTGTTTCCTGTAGAATTTTAATTTAGATGCATAAAGGCTTATTCCAAACAGTCATCAAAAGAAATGTTAAGACCAGTACATGAAGTCTGATTCTAAATCAAAGGAAGATTCATATTTCCATTTTTTTAAAGCACAAGCATACAACCTTCTTTAGAGCAACAGTTACCTTTCTAGTTCATATTTCCCAAACCAACATGCAGCCTATTTTGAGATCAAGATGGGAACTATATGGCAAGTACAGAAAAAGTACTACTTTTTAATATTTTATCCTGTTTTGCGGGAGTATTATTTGCAAAATTAAAAGCTAAACAAATGACTGCAGGGATGAGAGTATGGAAGTAAAATAAACAGGAAAGAAAAGAATTCCACACGTTCTTATTTACATGCAGTTGGTCTCACGTGGTTTAAAAACATCCCAAACAAACTCACCAAAGATGCAGTTTCTGGAGCAGCAGTTGTTCTTGGTTTAGCATAAATCTGAGGACACAAAAACATAGCAAACTTTCTGATTACAAAATCGAAGGCACTGCAAATATAACAACATTTGATAACTCTAAAGCAAACATAACTCTATAAGCAAATACAAACCAGCACTATAGACACTTTAGCTATGTGAATCACCTCTGAAACTAGTAAAATTTTATCCTACAGAAAAAAATAAAATCATATTTACTCCAATTACACTCAGACAAAAGCTACTTTAAATAACACACACATTTTCTAAAGTAGAAATGCACTTAGTTGAATGTAAGTCAGGTCACATTAGTAGAGTCAGCATTTGAAAGTCAAAGGCCACAAATTTAAAACTGTACTTGCTTAACAGAGAACTTAAATGGGTTTAGGTTTTGTACATGTTAATGCTTAGAGCAGATCTACTTTCAGTGACTCATTACTCTCCTTTGGTGTAAAAAAAAAAAAAAAATTTTAAAAAAAAAAAAAAAAAGACAAGGCAAATTCACCAGAATGGGATAAATTCTATTTAAAGGTAGTTCCTAAGCTTTTAGAGCCATACTTACCAAGCCAGACTTATCTTCAGTGTAAGGTCTTTTAAAGAACTAAGTATGGTGATTTGACATAATACAAACACATACCCACCTTATCAACAGATAACATCATGAAACAGAATGCACTATAATTTTAATTCATTTTGTTTCTCATTGAGGTGCATGTCAATCTTTAATTATCTATAGAGGTCAATTCTGGAAAAAAATGCCCTTCTGAAATAAAAAAGCTTTTTTTCTGAAATTTAAAATTATTGTCAGACAAAATTATATAGACAAAAGTTCAAAACTTGTCATTGGCACAGAATTTATTTTAGTAAGTCTCTTTTATATGTGATTTTGTGTTTAAGTTTTCATAATTATTTCTAAGTTTGTTTCAAAATCTGGCTGACAGGTTCAAAGCAATCACCATGTTGTATAAAGTTATACTGTTCTCCATGGAGGTGCCTTTTCCTTTTCACTGACTACAGAACGGAGTTTACAGCATCATCACCGAGAGTTCAGTTCAGTGCTATCATCCTTTGCTTTAACAGTAGCAGACCATTACAGTGATTAAAAATTTACAACATTTTCTCACCAGATGCCCATAACTGTTGGGGTAACTTTCATAAGAAATATTAGAAATATTCCACTGAAATGTCCAACGAAGTTTTTGAAAGCTTAGTTTCGTTCCACACCCAGCCCCTCTCCCCACCCAACTACAGGTTTCCAAGTGTAGAATAATATCCTAAATCCTTAGGTATTTAAACTTCTGTAATTTTTGTTAGTCCTATAACTTTTAAAATACTAATGCTTAGGCTTAAAAAGGGTAGCAAATGTTTCTTGAAGCAAAGACACAGTGGCTTCAACAAACATGTACTGCTGACGTATTATCACAGACAAATAGAAGCAGCAGCAGAACAGGGTATCTCCACTCCCATACCTCAACAGATGGAAGCATTTAAGATAAACAGTATTGATGTGAGAATAGTATAAAAGAACAAAGGAAAGGCCCTCAGAAAAAAGGGGTGTAATCCTCTTCTAAAAATTAAGAATCTAGGAATCCACGTATTTTAAAGGCAAAGTGTAATGATGTGAATTAAAGCAGCACAAAGTCATAGACCAGAGAAAAGTAAAAATGACAGATCTAAGACCACTCGTGCACCCTCTACCTTGTCTGCATTACTGCATTGTGTTATGCATGAGAATGGTTTAAACAGCTCTAGGGATCTATCTAAAGCCAACTAAGGTCAAACTTCTGCACTCAACGAGTAGAAATTTACCTGGGAGGCCTGACATAATTTGGGTCTTGCATGGTTAGGGTTATTATAAAATTGTATGCACACAAACACACAAACGTGCCCTAATTGTTTCCTGATGAACATGTGAAAATCATCCGTAGCACTCCAGATTCTAAAAGATTTTATTGGTTTTTTCTGCTGTAAAGCAAAATTTTAATTGGAGATTTAATTTGGAGAAAAAAAAAAGGTAAAAAAAGTTGGGTACCCACGTACATAAATGGCTGATCCAGCTTCTTCAGACAGCTCTAGGTGGCAACCATGTCTACCATCCAGTCCCGCTGTAGGTGATTTTGCCAACTTATATCCTGCAACTATGAAGGTGTCCTATGGAGACAGGGTGATAAACAGATGATTACATAGGCAGTATCATGTACTCTATTTTAAGAGTATGTGATGTGAAATTTCATCCTAAAGTCTCAAAACTTTCAAGAAACAAAAATCCTGAACAAATTCTAAGCACTGCCTTTAAGTTTCTCTTTTTAGTTTTTCTACCCATGGAATTCATATTTCCAATCAATGCCAGCAAGCATTTTTTTTCAAATTCCGCTAAAATTGTCACACTCTTGATGGTACTGTGATGGAGTGCTAATTTTGACAAGGCCTAGAGGGGAAGAGTCACATTTAATAAAGCAAAAGAATCATTACCCTTCAAATATCCTGAAGACTGACTCCTTTCTGGGTAAGCTTAACTAAGCTAGAAAAGGAATCACACATCGGATCAGGAGTGACAAAACAATCTTTTCTCAGAGCTTATTTCTTACTGAGTTACAGTTGCACTTTGAAGAGACTCTCCTTGTAGATACTTTCTGTTTTGGTTGGATCAACATCTTCCAGTTTCTTCCTTAAGGGTCAAATAGGTAAGTCAATCAATAGGTAGGTTTCTGGTAGCAAAAGAGACATTACAAACTTCCCTGGAGTCACTCCTGAGATTCTGGCACAGGAAGCAATTGCATTCACAACTGCACTTTTACTTTGGTATAAAGTTCCTCAGACACCAGAAAGTAAACAAGCAAAGGATTATTTAAGGGGTAAATGATTTAAGTCCCTGCAGCAGCTCACCTTTTTAGTAGTAACCTTACAAAAAAAAAAAAAAAAAAGGGGGGGGGGAGAAGATAGAAAATACATATAGGAGATAGATATGATAAGAAAGGTGTCTGACCAAACAAAGATGATGCTGGGAACTCTGATACAACATAAAGCTCCTTTATAGTCAGCTCCTTTGGTATCAGAACTGTATAGCAGGGCTGTACCAATGTGATCCATTCCAATAAACATATTAGACTCGGAACCCTATTTCTATTCAACCTTCTACCAAAGGCACTTCCATAAGCTTTTACTGAATGACTTTTCTTCATGTGTTGATTTGATTACAACAAATAAAGATTGTTCTGATTAAAGTTGACAGTTTTAGCCAAATATTGCACTATGATGGCTCTTTTTTGCTATTTCAGCAATATAACAATGCTACTCTAAATGATTTAAGATCCAAAATCTTAATGTTTTGTGCAAGAAAAAGAAAGGCTGCTAGCTTAAGTGACAGTGATATATTTAGTTATTAAAGGATTTGCCAAAAAAAAAAAATTACTGCAGAAAACATAAGTTTGATCAGGCAGTTTAATACACAACAAAACTACTTAGGTCATCATGATTTTCAGGTAGTGTCATAAATGGGAATAAAATGTATATTTTGACTAAAAGATAATATGTAAGTCACCTACATGTAAGCCATACCCAGAGCTAAGTTAAAATCGGTCAAAACGATTAAACAACTCAGTATTCCTTGCATCTGGAACCCACTGCCCTGCTAACATACATTAAAGTTGTTTCAGTCTTTCCAGATACAAACACATGCTTCAGGAAACTCAGCTATTTTGCAGAAGCCATGTGTTAGCACATGTCTTTCCTTTCACTGTTGCTGATGCTACTCATGGTGTTCCTTCAACAGTGCAATTAACCTTCAGCTAAAAATCTATGCCCTACTATACATTATTCCTATTTCAGCATTTTATGATTGCAGGCTGCACACAACTCTGGGACTTGGTTGCTGAGTCAGGATTGGAGCTCTGTACAGCTGACTTGACTTGTCCTGTTCTCCTGTGTCAGAAGGAACTTTAGAATTACACAAACTAAAACCTTTAAACAGGTTGATAACAAATGGAAACTTTTTTTGTGAATAATGTTAGATCACTGGTGATTACTCTTATGTAATATGCAATGTGTAACATGGCACTCAAAACACACCTGTGAAAGGACTATGCAATTTCAATGAGGAAAAAAGACAGCACTAACCTCAAAATCTAGTTTTACATGTAGAAAGAACAGGTATAGTCTCAGATTTGTTACAAATCGTAGTCAACTTTGACAGGTTGTGACTCACAGTTTCTAAACATGCAAAAAATTTAAATAAGGTTTGCACAGTGCTTTGAAATTTAATGCTATATTAGTTTTCAAAAATAGATTAGTTTCCATTTCACCTTTAGCTAAGAGCAGTTATTAGAAGTTCTCTTATAATTGGCTTAGGAATCAAAGCCGTTTACATAAATTGGTGGATTTTCACGTCAACAGACATGTATTATATTGCATACATACACAAACTGTAAGAATTGAACAACAATTTTAAACAGCAAAAAGAAATCCTACTCCCCTCATTCAAAAGAAGTGAGAAATAAAGGAAAGAATATTTTCCCTATGGTTATTTTGTTACAGAACCAGAAGACTCTCAGGAGATGACAACAACATTGTTATTCACATTTTTGGGAATAGCCTGCTCCTCCCCCCAGGCAAATTAGCTGAAGTTGTTACAGTATGGGAAGTATGATACGGAAATCTACAAAACTGTGAAGTTTGAAATTGTAAGCAGCAAACAAAAAGTATTGGACCTTACTGAAGTAATTCTTTAATGGCTAAAACTTTGGGTTTTTAAAAATTAAATCCACTTCGTAACTGCCAAATTGCAACTCTGCTAGTTTCAGAAATCATTCTGTTCCCTCAGATTCTTCCAAAATTAAAATCTCATTTGAGACATGTGGAAAGTACCATGAAGGTTCAGTTCACTGGGGAAGACCAAATACTGGTTTTAGCCCACTCTAGCTGCCTAAGGGTTGTTGCCTGTGGGTTGTGGTTTCCTACTCAGCTCTTTAGTACTGATCTATCTTCTAATTGCTGCTCAGGGCCTTGTTTAAGATTTGTATTTTTATTAGGACAATAGAACTGGTTTGTTCTTTGATTCTGCAGCTTGTATATTTACCAAATTAGTTCAGGAACTTCCCATCCTGGATTTGCTGTCAAAATTCTGTGGAATCGAGAAATTTGTATACTGTCACTTCTTATTTTATACATATCTGACAGTTGTAAAAGATATTTCTGCCCTAAACAGACTGAACGGATTTTGCTGATCTTCAAGACATGTTTCTCTCTTTAACATGGCATACGACAAACACTAAAACAAGGCTTTGATGCACAGCAGAATCCAATATAAAATGGAATACTCTCTGACCTACACACCTTACCACCCAGTCCAAAGCCCCTCCTTGTTGCTCCCTCAAGGTCACACATATCAAAGAGCTGAAAAGGGCCATGCACCAATTTTGAGGTCAAATTAATAGCACAATCTCTAAACTGTCTCTACTAAAAGGATCTAGGTAATTTTTATTCCTTATGGCTAAATTAATTTGAAAGAATTCTGCGAAACCTTTCCTTCACGGTCAGGAGGTGTGACTGACCTTTCCTTCACATAACCTATGCTGGTTGGAGGAGACACTAGATGTAAATAGAGGAAGATGTCCTATAGAATTTCTTTTTCCTCACGCCCAGACTTCTATTTAATAGACTACACACCACAGATAATGTATACTTTCCAAGAGCTACCACCATGCTATCTGTCAGAGCCAGCACCTTTTGCTGGAAAATGTTTCTTAGACTCAGTGATTTCTTCAAAAACAAAGTTTTAACCTGTTCAGTTCATGACGCATCTGCTGATGGAAGCCATGTGGTAAATGATGCCAGAAAAAAAATCCTCAAAGTACAAGGAATCACATTGCTAAGCAAGACTTCTGAAGTATTTTACATATTCATTAAAAATATAGCATGCATTTTAATATGTATTTAATTATTATTGTTAATATTATTTATCATTATTAATTCAATAATTAACAAAACAAATTATGTGACTGGAAAAAAGGCAAGGTAAGAGTGACAAAGAGAGAGAAGGGTCTACAAAGATATATCCCAGCATCTTTTATTTCCATGGGAAGTTTTCACCTCTACATGATCCTGCTTTTTTTTTTTTTAAATGCTGCACTAGGTGACAACTATAACTTCAAATAAATTTCTTCAACTATTCACTAAACATTTATAAAAATGGGTTTTTTTAGCCTTGCTTTTTAGGGATAAATTTCACTGTCAGTCAGTCTGTCCAACATGTTCTGTAACTTCCAAATCTCTTTACTGACTTCAATTAAAATTTGCAAAGTGATAAAAATCTCAAAACAGTTCATGTGTTGAAAAGAGAGAAACACTAAACGTTTTTTGGGGCAAGATACTTTTATTTTACCCATTTGAAGAGGCAGCCAGTGTATGTCACCTGCTGTTTGAGGATTGTCTACATGGTAAAAGCAATAATTAAACATTCAGTTCCTTCTCTCTCACTTACACATATTCATCAAATCCATATTAATTTAGTCAGATTAACAATGTTGAAAACACAGCGATACAAAAGTTTTCAGTGTCTCAATATTTATAAGCACATAATTAGCAGCTTTGGTCCCATATATCTCATGAACTGATGCATGCATCTTTGAAGCTGATACAATTCAGGGTGTAAGCTAATATCCAGAAACAGCAAGATCACTCTCAAGGAATATAAATAGATCTTTCCCTCTAAAGAAAAAACCCAAACAGCTGGGAACCAAGCAAAAGTCATTTAACCTTAGGTAGAATTACATAAAAAGAATATACATGTCTCTGAACTGAAATTAAAATGTTCCATAAATTCAGAGCAACTTGGACTTTAAGTGATATTTTGATGACACGCCCTGAGGTCTGCTATAATTTTTACCTTTTTCAACATATAGATCACCAGAGTTAAGGTGTACTAGTCCATTTGAGCTGAAAAATCCTGACAGAATTCTAACTAAGCCATTGCTATTTCCATATTTAAGAAAGCCTTTAACTTTTGTACATAACAAATAATTCTAATTACATGAAAACAAAGCCCTATTTTCTCCACTAAATAACTTTCCATCTTTTTCATGGAGAAACACTTTTTACCAAGGCCCATAGTGACAGGACAAGGGGCAATGGTTTTAAACTGAAAGAGGGCAGAGTTTAGATTAGACATAAGGAAGAAATTCTTTATGTTGAGGGTGGTGAGACACTAGAACAAGTTGCCCAGAGAAGTTGTGGATGCCCCCTCCCTGGAAGTGTTCAAAGTCAGGTTGGATGGGGCTTTGGAGCAACCTGATGTAGTGAAAGATGTCCCCCTGCCCATGGCAGGGGGTTGGAACTGGATGATATTTAAAGGTCCCTTCCAGCCCAAACCATTGTATCATTTAGTGTGAATTTATATTGCAAATGAAAAAGCACTAACATGAGCTCATAACATATTGTACACTAACTTTAATTTGATATCTGGCTAATATTAAAATGTCAGCAAACTGACATGCAATCTAATAAAAAATATTAAGCTGAGGTAATTGTTTTCAGCTTGTTTTCCTTCTTTAGTTGCAATGCACTGTCTCACAAACTTGTAGGGTGACTTGTTAATATTCTTTACCCTGGTGCTAATCAAACCAAGCTCTTATCTTTGATTAAGCAAGACGCCAGCACCCAGCCAATAAAGAAGACCGTGTAGGTAGTTTTGAATTAAATTTTTTTTTTTTTAAAAAAGCTTTCAGTGTAACTTTTGAAAATCAATTTAATTCTAAAATCTATCTTATCAAATGGCAATAGACATTCAAATTATGAACATAAATGGATGACACCTTGTCCTGGTCTTGGCTGGGATGGACTTAATTGTCTTCCTAGTAGCTGGTACAGTGCTATGTTTTGAGTTCAGTATGTGAAGAATGTTGATAACACTGATGTTTTCAGGTGTTGCTAAGTAGTGTTTAGTCTAAAGTCAAGGATTTTTCAGCTTCTCATGCCCAGCCAGCAAGAAGGCTGGAGGGGCACAAGAAGCTGGGAGGGGACACAGTCAGGGCAGCTGACCCAAAGTGGCCAACGGGGTATTCCATACCATGGGACGCCACATCTAAACTGGGGGGAGTGGGGGTGGGGGACCACTGCTCAGCGACTAACTGGGTGTCGATCAGCGGGTGGTGAGCAATTGCCCTGCGCATCATTTGTACATTCCAATCCTTTTATCATTACTGTCGTCATTTTATTAGTGTTATCATTATCATTATTAGTTTCTTCTTTTCTGTTCTATTAAACCGTTCTTATCTCAACCCACGAGTTGTACTTCTTTTCCTGATTTTGTCCCCCATCCCACTGCGGGGGGGGGTAGGGGGGAGTGAGTGAGCAGCTCCGTGGTGCTTAGTTGCTGGCTGGGGGTAAACCACAACACACCTCTATCATTGAGATTCATACATAAGCAAATACTTTTAGGTTTTTTCTAGTTCATATTTATAGATTTGAATTGAATGAATAGGCTACTTCTAATTTTGGTGATAGCTATACAAAGACAAGATAAGAAGTCAAAATACATCTGTGGAAAACAATTCCTGAAATAACAAAATATATATATATTTTACCCCATGGCGTATAACTTTTGCACAATCTTCTGCCATTTTTCCATGTATTAAAATATTGATGCTGTTGGTCCGTGAACACAAGTTATCCAAACCTAGAGGAAAAAAAAGCAGAAGCAATTCCAATCACCATACCTTCTCCAAAACAAAACAGCAATGGGAAGAGATTTCCAAAATAAATTCATCTACGGAGTCTAACACTTTTCATTCCAATTAATCTACAAACAGAAAATCTTTTCAAATAGTTATACAACTGCTTTTATGTGCTAACTACAGGTATATCAAGCAGAATATTCTTCATAAGAGGACCATTTAAGATGTGCACGTTGTACATCAGTGTACATTAAAAAGAAATGACAAAGTTTTCCACTTGGACAATTCAGTGTCTAGTGTTAGAGAGAAAATATTATCCAGTCATATTTGATTTTTTACCTTAACACAGATCATATTGTGGAACTACATAAACTGGAGATACTCTAGTACATAGACATATCAATAAATAGCCTTCCAGGAGGACTGAAGCAGAAATTATGTTGTTATTTTAAAAAAGTTTTCTACCTTTTACTGTTTCAGAAACCATGCTAATGATTCAGATGCGCAAACTGTTTTTTGAGGCTGTGGAGAATGTGCAGAAACTCTCAGCCCTCCATAACAGCCACATGAAATTAGCAAGACTCAAGGAAGTTTTGCATCCCTCTTTGGGAACCCTGAAACCAGCAGGGAAACTGACACAGGTCCCATCAACTTCATTCATCTGTACTAACACCAGTCACAAGCAGTATCCTCAGGTAGGATCTGTATCCGCCCAGCCTGCTATTTGGTCACAGTCACAGAATTTGTAGAATCAGGAAGGCTCAGAGGGAGCAAGTGATGATTCTCTAACCAGTGTAAGGAAGGAGCTGAGAAGAAAATGGAAAGAAATAGAAAGTTCCTCAAATCCAACATAGATTCCTTATTAGTGACATCCTCCTCCTTCCTGGCTGGAGGGGGTGATGAACTTTGGACTTAAAAGGGACATATTTTTTTTTTGTATCACTTATTACATGATGAACAACTTAAGTCTTTCAATGTGTGTCTACTGATACTCAAATACCTGAGCAATCAGGTAAAATTCCATTTTTTAACTGCTTAGATTAAAACAGAATGAAATATGAATATTTTGCTCCTAATCAAGATACTGACCTATATTAAATGTCCACTTACACAGGAAGTGTATATACTATGTACATTATATGTATATACTGTGTATAGTATATGGTAACTATTAAGTGTGCATTTTTCTTAGTCCTTCTTTATGACAAGCAGTTTAAAAATACACTATTAAAGCTGTACATATAGCTAATGCATTTCCAGGACAGTATTTTAAAAGATTCTGCAACAAGAAGTCTACTGAAATATAAAGACTGTATTGTTTCCATTACCTTACCTGGCATAAGTCTAAAATAATCTATTTTTGTAGAGAATGAACACTTTTAGAGAGTATTTTAAACATAACCTTTTACTGAACACTAAAAAAGCAGGTACTAGTGACGTAATAGCATGATGTCAGAAAAAGTGTCAAGAAGTTCAACAGAATAAATTTAAAATGTATACTTAAATGCAGTACCTTGAAGAACAACCTTGAAAAAGTCTGTCCCATCTCCAAGCTTTGTTAGTGGGTAGGAAAGAACAACTATTCCCTAAAAAGTAAAAAATAAATAAATAAATAATGTGAACTAAGACTACACACCTCTATGTTACTGAAACACTGATAACAGCTAAAACACCTGTAAGCTAAAAAAATGTAGAATTGAAGTGATAAGTGCAAATTACCATCTGAATTCTTAAAAAAACCCCAAACCCAAAAAAACCCAACCAAAACTGCTAAAGACAGCATTGAAGAGCAATATTCTTAGGATATAATAAAGGAAATATTACATGTCAATACTACTTAGATGCTACTGACTAGACGTTGAGCTTAAACACTGAAACAGTAGTTACAGAAGTACCTTTTGCTAGTTACAGTAATAACACAAAGGCTACAGTTTTAGCACAAAACCTGAAAGGCAGCTAAAAAGGTAGGGTAATCAAAATCTTAAAAGATGCAGCAATTTCTCCCAAAATATTGGCAAAGGATTACAAGATAAATATCAAAACAAAATCATAGTCAAGAGATAAAAGATGTATATGAAGCTAAATAATCTTCTGTGAAAATAAAAAAACTGTACAGCTGGGAGAACTGTATTACAAAGTTTTGAAACTGTAGTAACCAGTTAGTTTATCAATAATACAAATGGTCTAAAAGATAGAAAGGTTCTATTAATTATGTAAAAATGCTCTCTTTATAGTGAGGTTCAAGTTACAATGAAGCAAAAATCACAGGCCAGCACCTTCAGCTACGTTAACACCTCTTCGGCACAAATGTGTTTTGTTAGAATGATGATATCTCATCAAAGAAGGTTCTCCTTCAACAGTAGCAAAAATATCAGTCAAATATATTCTTCCGCAGTATGGCAGGTAAAACACTGTATCCTTCTCAAGGATAAAAACACAGAAAATGGTTCAATAAAGAAAAATACAAAAATTTGAAAACAGACTCTATAAAGTGTTTAAGAGTACTACACAGACAGCACAGAAAATAAAATAGAAGGTTTCTTGTAAAAAGACAGCAGGGACAATCTGTCTATAAATGCCCAAAAGCAACATTAAGAGGATTGTCAGGTAAATCATAATGATTTTACAGTATACTATTCAGTGGGAAGCTTGACTTAAATGTTAGTAAACACCTCTTAAACCAAATTAGGATAAAATAAACAGCAGTGAATTGTTACTGTAGAGAATTTTCAGAGTAAAATTAGTCCCAAAACATGTTAGCTGAGGAGGAATCTAAATCAAATTCAACAATTTATTTTACTATCTGTTTCATAAAGAAATACTAATACTCCACAAATCATCCTTTTCCAACCCAAAGTATATTTTAATTTTATTACACTAAACAAATAGTCATGATGAATTAAATTTAATATGTACCATATTGCTTTATTGCTTTCGAGACAAATGCTTCATTTAAGACCAAAATGAAGGTCATTCTAGGACCATATGTTTTTAACAGGTAAGTTCCTACTTCTCACAGGGAAGACCAATGAGTTTTGTAAGGAGACTTAAGTATCAAAGACTTATTTTAACAATCAGCATCTGCAGAATAATGTTCTGAGATTTGCCCATGAATATTTACAGAAAGGTTTGTTTTCAAAATCACAGCTTTGTTTAAAATTTTAAGTATTATCTACAATTACTATTGCTGAGATTGTTTGTCTAGAACTGTACTCACAGGTAAATCAAATACTCTAGTTTTTCTTGTAATAAAGTTTTTGCAATGAAACAGTTACCTCCGTATTTACATATATATTTCTTCTTACTAAAGAAATTTCAATCTGCACAAGCATGCTATTTAAAAACAGAATACACTGATGAGGTAGAGACTCTGCTTTCTGATCACTTTTACTTTTTACTTCTCCTTTTACATCCTGCTATCTTCCAATGAGTTTTCAAATTCTTCACTGTAACTGTCTGGCCCCATCACTTTCCTTTGTATCCCAAAAACCTACGCTCTAGTTCTCTTCCTCAGCAGAAATACTACCCACTGCTTTCTCAACATACCTGAAACTCTTGGGCTCCAAACTTCAACAAAACCCACCTTAGCAAAACCTGCTCACATTCACTCTTCCCCCAGAAATCCTGCACTGCTTATTGAGCCCATAGACAAACTTCTTCCAAAACCCTCCCCATTCCATATGCCACTAGACTCACTCTAAAACTGACTATATGGAATTCCTCTGGTGAATCTGTCTCCTTCCCTGCCACAGCCTCATTCCTCAGTCTGGTCCAACAGCTGATTTGGCAGCTGATTTTCAGATTTGGTTGAGCCTTGCCACAGCAAAATCCAGAGGATAATGAATTAATGGGAGAAGGCATCAAGTTCAGTTAATGGACATCATAACTGAGGATGTACGGATGTTGCTTGTGCTGTGTTCCCACAAATTTAAATTAAAATTTGTATTGTTCAGAGGGATGCCAGCAAGCAAATAATTTCAGAAGAATGAAAGGACTGAGGCACACAAGCCAGACAGAAGTGTCCTGGATGTTTTTTGTTGCTCCTTCCCAGAACTCACTTCAGAAAAATCCTCCTCTCCCCTTCCTCCCTCCTAAGAGTAGGACCCGACCCCTATTTTGGCAGGTCTAGAGTGACCAGTGTGCTGTGCCACCACTAAGATAACCTAACATCAGTGCATTCTAAGGTTCACTTCAAGCTCAGCCTACAGAACTGGATTTTCCTACATATTTAACGGTGCATTAGCACCAGCTTTATCAGCTCTCCAGTTGCACTGTTTTTATGCCAAGCTGTTTTAGTCACCTACTAATCCATGTCAGCAGCAGCATGAAGTTCTCTTAACATAAGGCAGAAGTCTGAGAAAGAGATTCTATGCACTTTCTCTTTCAGCAGTCAGGTATATAACTGCATGTATGCTTTAAATCATAGCCTGGTGATAATTGTTCTGCTTTCCTAATGGAAACATTTATTTTGGCAGAAACATTTTCTAATTTATAATCCATTTTTTGTCTGCTTCAACATTTCCTTTGTGAACAAGAAGCCCTGTTCTTCCATGTCAGGGGTGCTTGCAGACATAGCTCTTAAAAGCAGGAGAGCCTTTATGCCCTGCAGATGAATGGGGACAGAAAACTACACCCTGAGGAATAAAACCACTGTTTACTAGCAGCATTGGTTATTGATGTTTCCATTCGATCCTTTACAAGACCTAAGGGAGGCTGGATCATTCTCAATCAAATCACCTCCTATCACACTCTACTGCTGCCTGCTTCCAAAAAGGGCAGTTTTGCTCCTTTGCTTTACCTAATTGCACTACTCCTAGCATCTATTTGACACCATAATGAGCCAGTTCAAACAGTGAGAGCAGCAGAAAACTGCCCTCTCTCCATCAATATGGATAGTCTTCTGCCAGTTTATTTCTCATGAATGGACTCAATTGCAGGGTCAGATAACCACTAGAGCTGGAACTGGGAATATACAGCTGGGGAAGCAAAAATGTTTTTTGGATACAGAAAATAATTAGGCCAGTTCAGGTCATATTTTTAAAATATTTGTGCCATTTTTTAAGGATTCAAGCCACCTAATGTTTTCTAGAGAATTAGCTTACTTCCCCTTCCCTTCCCCACCTTTTTTTTTTGGTTACAGACTGAAGGCAAGACTGGGATGATGTTCATTTCCTGCCACTTAAGTGTCAGGGATGATTAAAAGGATTTTCAGAATCATTCACAAAAAAAGTTAAACAGGTTAAAAAAGAAAACCCTCAAGAACTGACACTGCATTTTACAGAGTATACTTGTTTTAGGGATGAAAAAAATATTTCCGCATTTCACTAGTACACGAGGATTGTACTTCCAATCCGAAATATATTTGGGACGCTACAGTAAAATATAAATGCACACTTGGTAATGATAAAAACCTAACTGTATCCTGATGCAGGTAGTTGCTACAGAGTCCTCTTTTCATAAAACTGGATACTGCATTGCTTCATACAAGAAAGGAAAACTGCTTTAGAAGTCATTACTCTGAAATCTGATCCTTATCAGAATGGTGGTGCTAATTACTATTTTTTTTAAAAACAAAATACCACTTAACCTCCCCCAATCCTTCCATTTTCAGCACAGCCTTCTGCATATTAATGTGTTTATAAATGGGTCCACAGTTTAGAAACTAAGAAAAGAAAACCTCTTATAAAATTTAAGTCTGGCAATGCAAGAGGAAGGGGCAGAACTGTCAATCAATGAAGTCAATAGCAACATGCAACAAAGTTCAACAGGGTCATAATTCTGTGTTGCTTAAAGATATGCAACAGATGCACAAAGAAACACAGCTGCAGCAAGTCACCAACTGAGCTAGAATATGGAGGTCCCTTATAAAAATACCATGAGCTATTTCAAAGTAAACCAGAATTCTTTTATTAGCAAGTTACCTGAAAGTATTTGTTGGTATGATCAAAGCCCTCTTGCAAATGCTTCAAATCCTCCTTCTGCAAATGTGTCGGTAGTAGAGTCTCAGATTTTCTTTTACCTATCTTCAGCAATTGAACAGGCATAGCTGCTTTACCTAAACAAAAATGATAAATAGAGTCCTGAAGCTACTGATCTTGTTGAAATTAAGAGTTACCAGAAGCTGCAATTTACTCAGAAGGGCAGTATTCATCTATTTCATAATAAGAAAATTTAATTACACAAGACTAAAAATTTTCAGAGGGATTGGCCTCATCTCTTAGTACCATGAATAGCAGGAAGAGAGAAAGTAGCATTTCCTTGGCAATAGGCAACCATCCAAATGAATGCAAACATTCCAAAACACTGCAAATGTCAACAAAATATTACTTTATATATGAATGCAAAGGGTAATGCAAACAATGTGAATATTATATGTACAGAAACGCACATTAAAAACCAAGCAGAGACTTTGAATGACTCCTTCCCCAGCATAGGTCATGGATAATCAATCTCCATATTCAGCTGTTTTCCCTATAAGACAACTTGACTGCATCAAAGTAAAACATCTGCCATTTTAACTTATAATGAACAAAAAATGCTTATGTACAGATTAAAAGATTTGGATTGGTATGTCAAGTAAGGAAAAAATAATAAAATAAGATGGGCATCTACAAATGCTAAACACTGAATGTACTGGAAAAAAGCTAAGATATGTATGACTGTTGTCTACTGTTTGTTGTCACCGTGCTAAAAGTCAATGAAATAAATCCTTGGTGATATTTGTTAGAACATTGAGAACTAGAGAAGAGTAGTCTATTATAGTGAAGTTACACATTTGAGAAATGTAAGTGATCTAGCCATAAGTAGTTATTGCTATATTTTTTCATTACATGGTCATCTCGTTCTTCT